CAAAACAGTAGTTTTTATACCAATTTGCTGTAATTAAAATATTTATTAAAATATTGTCCAATAAGCACTAAATAAAATTAAAATACTTACCTGACCTTCAACTCCGACAAATTCCCAACCATCATCAGCTGAATACTTAGATTCAACATCATCATCGGCTACAAAGGTTTAACAAAATATTATTATCAGATACATAAATTTTAAATACAAATAAAATAATTAAAAATAATCAACAAACGATCTAAAATAGCAAAATCTGGCTTCAATTGTGCAGACTGAAGAAGAGGGGGCATAATTATAGGAAGGTAAGGTACAAAGTCTGCACCAAGAACTTTGCATACTCTTGCCCATGAAGCAATAAGGTATGATGTTTGAGGATCATCTGGTTCAGTTACTGACTCTATAAATTTAATTAATAAAATTTGTCATTAATGGAATAAGTTAAAGTATAAAATAAATTAATTAACTTAAATTAAATTAAACATTTACGTTGAGTTTGTGCCAGTAATTGGATAAAAACTTCAGCATTTGGTGCAAAAATTTCTTTACCCACGGCCAAAGCTAAATTATAATAAATATGACAATTAGTCAATATTTGTTAAATAATAAAGATTCAAAGGATGCAGTGTATACCTATAAGACTTGCACATTCCATAGCTTTGCCACGTAATAATCTGTACTCCTTTTGGTGAGCATTTCTAAGCACACTTATTAATAAAGGCATTATAGCGCTATAATACTATAAAAATTTTCATTTTAAATACAGCAGATAATTATAAGTGAACAAAAACGGAGGGACTATTCCCACCTTGACAAATCTATCTTCTGCGCTATCAGCAACCGTAGCTATCGTTGTGATAGCCTGTTCTTGAACATAAGTTCTCCCAGAATTTAGAAGAACAAGAAGCCTTTCAAAAATTGGGTCCAAATAAGGTTCTAGAATTGACTTATCTGCGGCTTCGCAGAAGTTTACTAGGGCAGCTGCCGCATGAGCTTGAACCCTATAATGAAGAAGTTGGATTTATAAAGATTAAATAGTTGAATATAAACCTCAATAGTGTAACGATAGTATAATATCATACCTCGGTTCCGGAGTATCCATTATAGGAATTAAATTAGAAAGTACAGGTTGGTGGTATTTCTTTTGAAGAGAGTCTTGGAAATCAGTTGACATTTGGCCGATTGCATTACACGCAGCATATCTTACTCGAGGATGGGGATCTCGTAAATATGGTAAAACCAACCTTATATAAAATATATAATATAAAAATGAGAGAGATATATATATTCGA